TATCGAACAACAGCAAGAGAAATCAAGTTACAGACAGTAGTTATCTTGACAACAGGGGCAAATGTCTCATCATAATCAATACCATACTCCTGCGAGAAATCCTTGGCAACCAAGCAAGCTTTGTATCGCTCGAGAGAACTATCAGAATGAGTCTTGACTTTATTGACCCATTTGTAACCAACCAAATTCTTGCTAGCAGGCAAAGGAACCAACTCCTAAGTGTTAGTCTTCTGCAAGGCAAACAACTTATCCGCCATAGCCTAAACCCAAGTAGGATCTTGACAGGCCTCCGTGTAAGACTGTGGTTCTGAAAAAGAATGAATAACAGACAAAAAAGCACGATAGGAAGCAGAAAAACATGTGTTAGACCAATCAAACCTGTTTGGAGGACGACGCTCACGAGTAGGATATCGGTGTGCAGCAGGATTAGAGTCATCAGAAGCAGAAGGAGCAGCAATGGGAGTAGAGACAACTAGTGGTGGGGGAGCCTTACGACGAGAATAGACCAACAACGGAGGGGAAGAAGAAGTCGAAGGAAGAGAAGGAGCCGTAGGTGACGCAGACGAAGAAGTAGGAATGGCCTCAGGAGGAACAGTGGAGATGTACTCATCAGACGGGACCTCAGAAGGAAATGGGTCAATGTGAACCAAATCATTTTTGAAAACGGGAGTAGTGAGAGGGGGGAGCTGAAAGTAAGACAGACGTTTGAGAAAGGCAACATGACGGGAGACATAAAGGCGAAAAAGAGACAAGGTTGTAACGGCGGTGGCCTTTCTGAGTAAGACTGTAATCCAAAGAGACACACAAAACAGATCGGGCACTGAGTGTGGTCCTATCTTTACAGGAAAGGAGGACAAAACAAGCAGACCCAAAGACACGCAAGAGGGAATAATTAGGAGGTTGGGAATACAGAGCCTCATAAGGGGATTGACCGGAGAGTAGGGGAGTCGGCATGCGATTAAGGAGAAAAGCAGCAGTAAGGACTACCTCACCCCAAAATGGAGCCGGAACAGAGGCAGAGAGAATGAGAGATCGAGCTGCCTCAAGAAGATGACGGTGTTTACTCTCAGCACGACCATTTTGGACAGGGGTATCAGTATAAGGGGTTTGGTGAATGGTGCCCAATTTAGCTAAAGACTCACAGAATTCAGTTTTAAAGTATTTCCCACCCAAGTCATACCGAAGTATTTTAATTGTGGCCCCAAACTGTGTAGTGATCATAAACTGAAAGGTACGATATATGTGGCAAAAGTAAGATTTATGAGCCATAAGATAAACTCAGGTATAACGGGTATAATCATCAACAAAGGACACATAGTACGCAAAACCCCCCTATAGTGAGAATAGGAGAAGGCCTCCAGGTATCAGTATGTACAAGAGAAAAGGGAGAACAAAAAATAAAAGTACTGTTATTAAAAGGTAAAGTTGTCATTTTAGCAAGTTTACATCCTTGATACTCATTAATTTGATTAGGAGAAACTTTACCTAACAAACCTGACTGTGCTAAAGACCGCAAGCAGTCAACATACAAATGACCTAAGTGAGAATACCATAAATAAAACTGACTCGACTGAGAATCTAATTGAAAAGATGAAAGTGCAACGGAGGAGGTAGACAGAGGAAGATGCAAGCTTTCTACCACATAGAGATCTCCAACTCCACGGCTGGTCCCAATTTGCTTCTTGGACACCTGATCCTGCACACAACAGACAGAAGAAGAAAATATAACATCAAAATCAGAAGTATCAAGCTGACTGATAGAAATCAAGTTAACAGACAGTTGAGGAACATAAAGAATAGAGGGAATAGTAACAACAGACATGGCAGAGGGTAAAACAGACCCAATAGATAGGACAGACACACCAGACCCATTAGCTGTATTAATAGTAATAGGAAATGGAGGGCGGATACAGTTTTGGAGTAAGGAAAGGTGATGAGTCATATGATGAGAGACACCAGAATAAAAAAGCCAGACAAAGGAAGGAATACCTGAAGAGGACCCAAGCAAACCTGAATAAAAAGAGGTGAGAGCAGAGACAGATGAAGATGACTGAGAGGTGGACCAGAGATGCTGAAGTTGAGCAATCTGGGCATTCAAGGAAGCCAAGTAAGGATCAGAAACCGGAGCAGATGCAGTATACGCAGTAGGAGGGCGAAAAGTACTCGAAGCAGGACCTCAGAACTGTGGCTGAGACGGTTGAGAAGACTGAGTAGACTGACGGCCCTTCTTGGGACAGTTGTACTTTCAATGGCCCTTCTGATGGCAAAAAGCACACTCATCAGAGGCTAGTAGCCCCTTCTTGGGCCTTGCAGTGGCTTGAAACTGATGAGGTGGAGGGTTCAACAGCAGAGGAGGCTGAGTAGGAGCCAAGAAGACAGATGGAGACAGAGTCTGACTGGCCGTCTTAAGTTTCTTCGGAGAGGAGCTCACGAACAATAGCATCCATAGAGGGGAGAGGAGACCAATAAACGATGCCACCACGGATTGCCTCATACTGAGGGGAGAGAGCCATTAAGAACTGCACTAAATGACCTTGCTCCCGAAACTCAACATAAGCGTCTAGTGCCTTGAGGCTAGATGATTCCATGAGAGCCAATTGATCCCAGAGGCCTGTCATTTCAATATAGAAGTCCTGAATAGATTGATTCCGTTGACGAGCACTCTGAATAGCTGTTTCCAACTCATATCATTTAACAAAGTTGGACTACTGATACATACCTAATAAATAGTCCCACACCTCCTTGGCAGCACTGTATTTGGAAAACATCATTCTAATACGGTCATCCACATAATTATGAAACTAGGTTAGAACTTGGGCATTATCATAATCCCAAGTGTCACAGGAAGTCAGATATCCTTCTTGTTTCGAGTCTAATGGACGAGGAACAGAACCAGGAACATAGCCCCATTTTTTCTGACCAAGAAGGAAATTCTTCACGACACTAACCCAATAAGCATAATTGGCACCTGAGTTTACATCTGATTGCTTGAATTTTGGTGTTCGTCATTGTAATAAACCAAAGATTACAAAGATTTTTTTTTGAATAAAATAGAGTTTATATGGGAGATATACTATACCACCAGATGATCAAATAACAGTGGGAGAAAGAGAACTGGAATAGTCGAAACAGAGAGACAAGCAGCACCTCGTGAGTCTAGCAATGGTGGCGACTCAACTTCACGAGTCCAACGACAGATCACACGAACTAGAGAACCAGAGGCTAAGGTTCTCGTGAGTAGGTCGCGAGGCAGAGAACGAGAAAGAGAGATGAACCAGATGACCAGACGAAGGATGATTTGGGACCTTCTATCGAACCAGATGAACACAGAAGAAGAAGAGAGAGTCAGCTTCTAGGGTTTCGGTTCAGAGATAGCTCTGATACCATGTAAGAATCTGAATAAACTTGTATATTCAATTGTGTTTGTTTACAAAGAGTTCATCCGTTTATATAGTCCTAAATTTATGACTGAAAAAGGAAATACAAAGATTCCTATTTACTTACACCACAATCTTGCCTAATTCTTGCCTATTCCTAATATACACAATGCCATATATACACAATATATTCTCACAATTGGATGGAGGAATGCTCAAGGTCAAGATAATTGCATATGATGAGGCATCAAGATTCGATTGTCTGCTGCTTTGTTTGTACCATAGTGATATAACTTAGCTTGAAACAAGACGTACATTATCTTTTATAAACACCATCATGATAAAGTGCTTCCATGTATAATACTATAAGCTTTACTTTTCAACTGTTTGATTTTTCAAGGAGTTAATCATGGTGGGGGAGCTTGAATTGCCCCCATCTAGTGTTGCAAGATAAGTGTTTGGCGAGGAATACTCGTGCGTTGAATTTAGCATCTATAAGTAAATGCTTTTCTTTTAAAAAATAGAAAAACTTTTATCGCACAAAAGAGGAAAGAAAATACTGAAAATGTATTTTTTTAATCTTTACAAATGCCTTCCCCTTAAACCAATCCAGTGATTTAAATGCATCGGAACCCACCATTGGGTGGCATTCATCTCTCTCAAGTATCAATGTCTCACATAAAACTGGATTTCAGGTACATTAACATGTAATTGTCGCAAAAACATGTGTAACAAATGCTGCAATACGTTTCCTCCCCAGAGACATGAGCATCAGTGTAACTGCATAAATTAGTAGTCAACCCATCTCATTGTGAAAACTTCCAAATGTTGTATCTCAAGATTAACTCCAAAGAATGACTTTGCCATTTCTTGAAGTTGAACTCATGGAAAAGATAAACTTATCAAGAACAAATTAGTAATGTAAAACCATACCGCTTTCTTTACTCATACTTCTGAAAGCCAAAATGAATGAAATATCAGTCAAGGACTATTAATGTGTGTTTCCAAAAATTGAAAATAGCAAAGAAAAAATGAAAACATAACCACACGGGCAACTCTCTCATTATATCAGATTTTATGTATTTTGGTCATGGTTTAGTTAATCAAATGATGCATAACTATAGGAAAATTATTGACGTCTAAGATTTCTGACTCATGATTTTATGATCAAAGTGTTCTCATTTTAATGCTGCTGCCTTCTATCTTCATTTATTTTCCTCTGTTCCACAAATTCTTCGTCTATTATGAATGATGTGACTTGATGCTTCTGCACCATAACAGAATACAGTGCAACATACTATCTTCTGTTTGCATCTTTGGTGCTATGAACATTCAGTTTTTTTTGGTTTTATAATTCTTCTGCCAACATATATATATATATATATATAAAGAGATGAATAAACTGTAATTATGCGCAACTACAGAAAATGATAAACTCAAACGAGACTGTTATATCATCCCATGAAGCCCTTAGGTATTGTCTTAGGGTTTGGTGTGGGTGTTTTCAGATTGCATAGACAGATTGCTGGAATGAAGTCCTACCCAATTTCATCTGCTTATCATCTCAAATTACTTTCAGGTGTACTATGAGACCATCAAAGCTTATAGCTGAGATACTGACAGGTGGCTCAATTAAGTTTGGGAAAATCCGGTGGAAGATGAAAAAGATCATCAAAGAATGTCTTCCAGAAGTACTTGGAAACTTGAAAGGTAGCTACAAAATAAACATAGCGGAACAACTATGTCAACTTCTCAGGAACTCCCACAATTTCCGTAGAAATCGTTCTCCACTTTTGACTCCTGCATCCCAATCCCACCATGCTGCTGCTACTAAGGTACTGGATGGACTTGAGGACATGCCTTTCCAGACTTTAAGCGCAATGCACAGGAAACTCAGAGGTATCCAGGGATATGTGCCCCAGTTGCGGACCTCAAAATCTGGATGGGGACGAAGCATTTTAATCGCTCAAGTGAGGAAAAGTTGTATGATGATGCTATCAGAACTTGGTGAAGAGAATAAATTGCAGGAACCACTAGCCAAAGCAATGGCAGTTGGGGGCTTATGGACAAAGCTAATACAAGGATGTCCCTTCGTAACAGAGTTTCAGCAATTCTCACCAGAAGATGAAGCCTTGCAGAATGAGATAGCAAAGGCAATATGGCTTCTAAAAGAGAAGGTGAGATTTCCAGAGTTGAAGAATTTGCAATTGTTGCTGGACCCAAAGGCTGAGTTATCAAATAGGAGTTTACAAACAGCAGTAAAGAACTTGTTGACAGAGTATCTTTTTGAATGCAGTGATATGGACACCATTCCAGACTATCTATTAGAAACACTTTGTATCATCAATAGAACCTCTAGGACTGCTCCTTACAGATTTTTTTCGAAGGAGGAAAAAGAAGAAGAGGTAGAACATGTATTGAATGTGAGTTCTCAGATAAAGCATATTTTGTGGGACTTGCTTCCTGAATATGAGTTTGACGAAGATTTTGCAGATGCATACATGGAATATTTAGAAGAAAGTGATGATGGTGATGATTATGATGATAATGACAGTGATGAGAAGCAAGAAGAGTTACTCCAGCAAAATAACTTGTTTCATCCTAGTGATCTATATGGCCAAACAGAAACTACTGGGGAGACAAATCCAACTAATTTCGGGTCGCCTGCCTCTACCATTAAAAGGAATGGCTCTTCCCTGGTTCTTACACCCAACAGAAGGTTAAACATTAATTCTCTTGAGAGAGTTGAGCCTGAGCCTCTTACAAGAATGGATTTGGTAGATTCTGATGCTTCTGCTTCTTTGTCTACATGTTTTGAATTTGGCAGCTTAGATAATATGGAAGAAAACCAGTCCCATGTAAGTGTGAGGAATTCAGAACTGAGGGATTACCATGTTGAGAGACAAGAACCTACAGTTGATCCAGAAAACCCGCCAGATTTTGTTTCTTCTAACTTTTTACGTGACCGAAATTTTATGCATGATGAGCTGAACATGAGTAGAAACCAATACCTCACTCTCCAAGAAGCCTGTGACAAGACAAGTATAGTGGCTTATCGTCTCATTGGTTGTGTATTGGATAAGTTGGCACAGATAGAAGGTTTACATTTAGACACGGGTGATATATCATATCTCAGAGGCGATTATTCAATTCGAAAAGATTCTGGAGGTACTTGAAACACTCTTTAAATCACTTCATTTAGCTAGTGAAAGTATGAAAAGAAAGATTCTTGTGCATTCTGTTATTATAGTTGTTTGTTATTCTTGTTCTTCCGCTTATGTAATTATTATCATTATATTGTTGGTTATTGAAGGGGGAAAAAAAGAGGTTATTGTAAGAAATTACTCTTATTTCTGCATTTGATTCCATGGCCATCTAATTCAGGTATAGCCATTGGCAGGCTGTCTCTCCTATGTTGTGAGTAGTTCTTGATGGTGTGGAACGTGCGAGCACCTTTGGTGTGGATATTTTATTTAGAATATTATGTTTTATATTTATGTCTTTATTATTTTTATTTTAGTTTTAATTACATTTTATTAAGAGTTTTGTTAATATTTAGTGTCTTATTTATTAGGGATTAAGTTTCTAAATAATATAGGATTTGATGTCCTATTTTGATTAGGGTTTTTAGTCTATATATATTAGACTCTTTGCATTTTTATTTTTAGCTTTGGAATTATATAGAATATTGAAGGTTGTGGCTGTTTGTGTTAGGGCTGTGGCCCTTCTCCTTTTCCCTCTCTTCTTCTCTCTTCTCTCTACCTACAATGTGCTACGTCAGTGACGTTGAAGATACTTGAAGGACATTACAGAATGAGTAATCCCAAGACATTAACTAATGAGTTCCAAGTTATCTGTGATAGCAAAAATGGAACTAGTTGAAAAAACTTAAAAGATTGCTCAGTGCCGTGTATCATTGAAATGACAAGGTTTGGATTTTGTTATCTTAAGTTAATGTGTAATTCTCCCCTATTACGTTAAGAAGAAATAAAATAGGTTGAAACCCAGTAAACTGAAAAAGGAAAAGAAAGGAAACAAATGAAATTAACAATTCAAGTCTGGTAAACTTTACCTTGAGCCTAAAGGCATTGCATTGAATGATGAAAAGACAAAGATCATAGCATCTCTACCGGCGGCGGTGTTGGGCTGTAAGGTGTCGACTTTACTGGTGACTTATTTGGGTTTGCCGTTGGGCGCGTCGTTTAAAGCTCAAAGGGTATGGGAAAGGGTTCTGGAGCGGATTCAACGTCATTTAGCAGGCTAGAAGAGGCAATATTTGTCGGTTGGGGGCCGACTTACTCTGATCAAGAGTGTGTTAAGTAGCATTCCGACATACTTTATGTCTTTGCTTGTTATTCCAGTGTCTGTGGCGAGGCAGATTGAGAAGTTACAAAGGGATTTCCTGTGGGGTAGTGGGAGGGATGTTTTTAGGTATCATTTGGTGGATTGGGGGCGGATTTGTCAACCAAAGCTGGCAGGGGGTTTGGGGGTGTGAAGTTTGGTGACTTTTAATAGAGCACTGTTGGGGAAGTGGCTATGGCGTTTTGCTTGGGAGCTAGAGCGTTTATGGAGACCAGTGGTGGCTGTTAAGTATGGGGTGGGTCGGGAGGAATGGGGGTCAAGGATAGTAAGGGGTTCTCATAGTTGTGGGTTATGGAAAGGGATTTGGTTGGGGAGAAAGGAGTTTTGGGATAGGGTGGGTTTGCGGGTGGGGGATGGGCTAGGGTGAGCTTCTGGAAGGATAGGTGGTGTGGGGTGGTTTTGTTGGCAGATCGCTTTCCTCTGATTTTTAGCATTGTGGTGGATCAGGAGGCTATGGTGGTATATTACTTGAGGGAAGGGGACGGAGCGGTTTGGGATATTCAGTTATGGCGTCAGGTTCATGATTGGGAGGTTGATCAGTTATTGGAGTTATGGAGTTTCTTATATAGGTTGGGTGTGACTGGGGTGGGGAAGGATGTTTTGGGGTGGAATGTTGGGGCTAAGGGGTGTTTTTTAGTCTCGTCATTCTATTAGAGCATGGTGGGGAAGGTGAGACAGGATTTTCCTTAAAGGAGTGCTTGGGTGCCACGTGTTCCATCTAAGGTGGTTTTCTTTATGTGGATGATGGCTTTGGGTCGGAATCTTATGCTTGATAACTTGATGCGACGTGGTCATATTCTTGTTAATCGATGTTGTATGTGTAGTGAAGATGCAAAGTCCGTGGATCACATGTTCTTGCATTGTTCCGTGACGTTCCGTCTGTGGGATTTGTTTACTCTCTGTAAAAATTAATGTATTATTGATTGATGTATATTGATGTTATATATATTACAATGATTCATGATTCCTATATATAGAAGAGGGTGAGTGTGTAGTAGGTAAGGAGTAGGTGAAGTGGAGGTGGTAGTGGTGTAGTGGGTTAGGTTTAGTGGAGTAGGTGAGATGGTAGTGGTGTAGTGGGTTAGGTTTAGTGGAGTAGGTGAGATGGTAGTGGTGTAGTGGGTTAGGTTTAGTGGAGTAGGTGAGATGGTAGTGGTGTAGTGGGTTAGGTTTAGTGGAGTAGGTGAGATGGTAGTGGTGTAGTGGGTTAGGTTTAGTGGAGTAGGTGAGATGGTAGTGGTGTAGTGGGTTAGGTTTAGTGGAGTAGGTTTTGTTGGCGGATCGCTTTCCTCTGATTTTTAGCATTGTGGTGGATCAGGAGGCTATGGTGGTATATTACTTGAGGGAAGGGGAGGGAGCGGTTTGGGATATTCAGTTGTGGCTTTAGGTTCATGATTGGGAGGTTGATCAGTTATTGGTGTTATGGAGTTTCTTATATAGGTTGGGTGTGACTAGGGTGGGGAAGGATGTTTTGGGGTGGAATGTTGGGGCTAAGGGGTGTTTTTCAGTCTCGTCATTCTATTGGAGCATGCTGGGGAAGGTGAGACAGGATTTTCCTTGAAGGAGTGTTTGGGTGCCACGGGTTCCATCTAAGGTGGTTTTCTTTATGTGGACGGTGGCTTTGGGTCGGAATCTTATGCTTGATAACTTGATGCGACGTGGTCATAGTCTTGTTAATCGATGTTGTATGTGTAGTGAAGATGCAGAGTCCGTGGATCACTTGTTCTTGCATTGTTCCGTGGCGTTCCGTCTGTGGGGTTTTGTTTACTCTCTTTTTGGGATTGGTTGGGTTCAGCCGCGGCGGGTGGTGGATATGTTGTGGACCTGGCGTGGGACTCGGTTTGGTCGTCGTCGACGGCGTGTGTGGTATTTGGTTCTTTTTTGTTTGATGTGGTTATTGTGGTTGGAACGGAATAAACGTACGCTTCAGGAAATTCAGCGTACCGTTAGTTGGCTTGAGCGTTGCTTACTAGTTGTTTTGTATAGTTGGTTAGAATTGAAAATTGATTCGGATATGTATGGTTTTTTTAGAGTTTTTGGATGAGGTTATTGGTTAGAGTGTGATTCCCTTTGTTGGGGTTTTGTAATTCTTTGCATCATCTTGATGCTTTTTTAATAAAGGTCGCTTGCTTATTTATCAAAAAAAAAAAAAAAATTAGTGCTTCAACGAATTTGAATTTGAACTAATCCACTTCTGACATGTCGTCGAGTTCATTTACAATTCAGGTCATGGAGTCTTCCCTCATGTTAACTGTCCTTGCTGATCCACTGGAGAGAAGGATATGAGATTTATGTTTTCATCTATCTGCAAAGCTTAACATAATGTAAGAAAGTTGGGCTAGTCAATGCTGGGGTGGCAAGGTTGTGATGGCAGCTTATTTTAAATTAATCACAAGTTTGAGTGAACTTCTAATTTCTGAAGATGATAGTGATTTGTTTTTGACCTGGGAATGTCTGTCTGATTGACATGCATGATTCTTCTGCTTCGTTGCATGGTCCAATCTCAAGATGCTTCTCATATTATTAAATCAAATTAATCATCTTTGCCCTAATTAATCTTTTAGGTTTAACCAATGACTAATGAATTGGTTCCCTTCACTTTCATTATGGTCTACCTGTGTGTTGCATTTCATTCTCTTTTTCTTGTTATTTGGAGATTTTAATGTTTTCCATTATCATTTTATAGTTGCAAATGAAGAGGTGCATGGTTCAGTTATTGTCCAAGTGCTTGAAGAGCTATTACCTTCATTTCCTGAAAGGTATTTTTGCTTCCAGTTAGCTGCATTTAATTGATATTTTATGTATTTATTTCTTTTTGCATTGCGGTTTTTACATTTTTCAAGGTTTAGCTTCAGATCTAATTTGCATATTGCAGTCTCCAACAAACTTGGCCTTTAATAAGTTGATAATAGGATCGATCACAATGGACTTTTATTTATTTATTATTATTTATAAATAAATAGAAACCTCTGAGAGTGCCAAAGGGGGGTGCAACCTTTGTACACCAGGAGTGAAGTCGATCCAGAAAGTGTCAACAAAAATAAGCTCTTCTATAAAATGTACAGATGGGCATTGTGTAGATCCAACAAAATCCCATATTAGATACATTGGGGCACCTGCACCCACTAAGGACCGACCCTTCTCTTCTATCTATACGTGGGGTACATTCCCTACTGCCTTCTTCCCAAGAAATGAACAAGCATCGAAGGCCATTAAAAGCCATGGTACTGAGGCCCACCGCTCACCCAACTCATAGTGCGTGGTCGAATTCCTAGGGCAGGCCACACTATAGAATGGTCCGAATAGATGGCTAAAGTAGATGTATTGCCTCTCGTTGTTATGCCCCTGGTTTGGGAGGAAATGATGAGTCAGAAGGTGGAGCTGTAACCCACGAGTCATCCCGAGTAGCTGAAGGAATGAATACATATAGTAGCGAGTATGTAGGATGTAACTGGCTATTGGGGTACAAAAGAGAATTTCAAATTAGAGTCCTTTGTGGACGGGGATGCCCTTGTACCGTTATCACAGCGTGAACTGGACCTTATTTTGCCTTATCTTCCACAGCCATAGCCGGGTCCGCGCTCCCCTCATTAGAAGGTAGGGCTTTTGAATCCAAGCTTGAATCAACTTGAAATTGATCCATCCTTTGATAATGGCTATTCCTATCTCGAGCTTTCCCCGGGCGATTAGACACAGGTATCCGTCATCAGGGGTTCCCGTCTCAGAGGAGGGCATTCTATCTCGTAGTAGGGGGAACAATTCTTCTTGAATCTCCATTTGGAAGGTAATTTGGTTGATTTGCTTCACTGAGAAGGAAGGAAAGCCACTTTCCAAGGCTTCCTCATCCTCTTGGATCAGCACCCTCTAGGCCAACTCTCGTAAAGTTGGAGAATTGAGCCCGGCATAACCCTACAGACTACAAGAAGAAAGAGCATAATCAGTGTAACAAAAGATGATCTATTCACTATGCTTTTTGGCACATACAACACCAATTAGGAAGCATCCTACCCCTACCTATCCAAATTGTCAATGGTGATGATGTCAGGGTCAATGTCCAAAAAAAGTACACTTTACTATGAATCCCTGTTTTCCAAATACTCTCCATGGGAAGAGCAATTCTACCTATATCTCACAACTGGGAAGGAAACGATTTATGGGAGAACCTTCTGTTAGCATATTATATTAAGTGATATTATATTAGCCGAAAGGTAGCCGAAAGATACACTAGGGTCTGTCTGTAATCATTTTATGCACTCAGGGATAGCACTCAGGGATCATCTTGTAATTGCATTTCTTGTAAACCCTAAATCTTCATTTATAAATAGGGGGTGATATTCTATCATTCCCCAAGCTGGTTACCCAAGCTTCATGGTATCAGAGCTACACCTCTAGGGTTAGGGTTCAAAACGTACCTAGTTGGATCATCTGCTGGGTTGATCTCCTCCAGCCGTCCTCTGTCGTCTTCGTCTTCGTCTGTATCGTCTTCGTCTGCTTCGTCTTCGTCCCTCAGCTCGTCTGCTCGTCTGCTTCGTCGGCTCGTCTGCTTCGCCTCAGCCCGTCGATCTCCTCCAGCCGTCATCGCCCTCGCCGTCCTCATCTCCCTCGTCTTCGTCACTCTGGTATCTATATAACCTGATATATATAAATATATATATATATGCTGATATATATATGTACGGGGAGGAAATAATTCTCCTCGTATAATCCTGTTGACCAAGTCCACGCTCCTCCGTACGACGTCGCTTTGTCACCTGAAAACACAAACGTGAGCTAGCCGGCGGGTGTGTGCCGGAAACCTCTCCGATGCCTAAGTCAGAAAACTTGACAAATAGACAAAGCTCAATGAATTCAGTAAGCAGAATTGTATGCTGTATTATGTTACCTCCTCCACTCCATGTATTACATTGATTTATAAGTTTCATAT